TGCTCTGAGTGAGAAAGATGAGGCAATCTTCTTCCATAAAGATTTACAACTTCGGAAACCCTATGGAGCAGTTCTACACTGTCCTTATAGGGTCACTAAAAACAGGAATTGACTCAAGGCAATTGTGGATTTTATTAAATATATATATGAAGCAGAACTGACTCCACGGCACATAACAACAACAAATAGGGTTTTTATGGATGCAATCTTTATGGATGTTGGCTGTTACTTCTTTTTTCCCACAAAGCACCTGGTGGGCTCAAACGATGGTCTTCTTTTAGTTAGCAAAGAAGCGCTTAGTCATGTAACTACCAGCGCTCTTTTGTAAGGCTTTGTTGTTGTTAAGTGCCCTCCTGTCAATTCTGATTCATAGCGACCTTGTATAGGGCTTCCAGGAGCAGTTGGTGAGTTTGAAGTACCCATATTACTGTTCATACCTGTCGAGTGCTTACCCTGCAGCGCCACACCAGTACTGCTTTGTGGTTGTTGTTAAGTACCATCGAGTAGATTATGATTCAAAGCAGCCCTGTACAGAGTTTCTGAGGAGCACCTGGTGGGTTTGAACCGCTGACATTTTGGTTCGCAGTCCAGTGTGTCTCTTATAGTGCCACACCAGGACTCCTGTTTTGCTTTGGTAGTGGTTATGTGCCATGGAGTCAGTTCGGACTCATAGTGACCCTGTACGGGGTTTCCAAGGCTGGAAATCTTTATGGGAGCAGAAAGCCTCATGGAACAGTGGTAGTTTCGAACTGCTGACCTTAAGGTTTACAGCCCAATTCGTAATCACTACGCTACCAGAGTATTGCTTTTGTTGTTGTTCTTGTTAAGTGCCGTCGAGTCGGTTCCAACCCATAGCGACCCTGAACAGGGTTTCTGAAGCTGTAAATCTTTACAGGAGCAGAAAGCCTCATCTTTCTCCCGCGGAGCAGCTGGTAGTTTTGAGCTGCTGACCTTGTAGTTCGCAGCCCGATTCCTACTGCTTTAGAAGGAGTAAAAAAGTAGAAGGCGGGCAACTCTGCTTGTTGTTTTTGTTATTAGAGTGTTATCAAGGTATAGGGTTTCCAATGACCGACTGGTGGGATTAAACCACTGACCTTGAGGTCAGCAGTCCATTGTTTATCCAAAAGCTCCATACCAGGACATCATCCCAGTTGTTGGAGATCCCCAAAAGCAACACAGAAGAGAGTGACCTACAAATTTAAAGGAGCAAGATATTCCACAAGGCAGTGGGAAGAGAGCAAACCTCATTCCAGGCACAGAGATGTGCCAAGAACTCGAGAGGCCTTGAGTAGCTTGCTGTTTTAAAAGGGAAGAACACTGTGAAGATAAGAATGAAAATATAATACCCTACTTAGGAATTTGCATTTTATGTTGAAAAAATTGGGGAAAACTTTACTATAAAGGTGTTTCAGAATGTCTGAGCTGCAGTTAATAAATGAGGAAACCAAGATGTGGGAATGGGCATCCAAGATTCCACAGATATCATAGACAATGATTCTGTGTGATAAAAATTTTTAGGGAAACTAATATAAGCATGCTTTGTCATAAACTGTTTGCTTGGTGTTTCATAACCTCACAAACCAAAAGCCAAACATTGGCCTACTAAACTACCATCTACATAAATGCATTACCCTTTTGTCATTTCTTGAGGAAAACAGATACAGTTTAAAACCAGCTATAGAACAATGACATTATTTATAGTCAGTTGCAAATACACTACACTAAGCAAATTTGCTGCAACAAAACAAAACAGAACACCTCTTTGAAGCATTAAAAAGTGAAGATGTCATTTTAGGAACTAAAGTGAACTGGATAATGAATGAAGAATTGGAAAGAAGAATTGAAGCATGTGACTTAGGGTGCTGACAAAGAAAAATGAATTTACCATGATGCAGCACACTGTAGGTTAAACTCTGGACTGTTAACCATAAGGTTAGCAATTTAAACCCACTAACCACTTGTTGGAAATCTTATACAGGGTTGCCAATGAGTCAGAATGGACTCAATGGCAGTTTACCACAACAACCAGAAGAATAAACAAATCTGTCTTGGAAGAAGTGCAGTCAGAATGCTCCTTAGAAGTGAGAGTAGTGTGATCTATCTTAAGAACTTTATTATCCTGAGGGATCAGTCTCTGGAAAAGGAAAGCCTGCTTTGTAAGGTAAAAGATCAATGAAAAACAGAAGGAACCTCAATGAGGACTACAATTGGCTCACATATAGTAATGATTGTGCATGACCAGGTAGGATTTTTTTCTATTGTGCATCGGGTTGCTATGAGCTGGAAGTGACTGGGTGGCACCTGACAAAACAACATAAATTAATGCACATGCACCTGACAGTTATTGAAAGTAGCAAAAGAGCCACACCCATTGAGTCTGGGAGAAGATGGTATCAGTTTTCCCTCTTCTTTATATCATGCATTTGACCTGTTCTTTCTTAAAACAATAATAGTGGCTAAAGAATACAAATAATTGCCTAAACGATACAAGATCTTTAGAGTCACCAGGACCAAACCTAAGGAACTGCAATGTTCTCTCTTGGCCTTCAATTTCTCTTCCCAGCTCCCCAGGATTGTACCTTAAACTGGCAGCTGGGGATCTAAAGCTCCTTGTAATATTTCTACAAAAACCAGTGTCTTCTTGAGGATCCCATGCCCCCAAATTACCACTTTTTCTTGGTATCAGCAATGCACAATTCTTGTTGTTAAGTGTCATTGGGTCAGTTCCAACCCAGAGTGACCCTGTATGGGGTTTCCAAGGAGAGGCTGGTGAGCTTGAACCACCAACCTTGTGACTCAAACCGACTTTGCAGTCCAGCACATTAACCGTGCCACACTAAGACTGCCTGTGAAAGCTAGAACCTAAAGCAAAACAAACATTTTCAGAGAAAGAAGAAAAACACTAAAATGAGTGATAGAAGAGTGGTATGACACCCTGGCCAAGTCAAAAAGCTTGTGAGGCCTCGAAACCCTGCAAAGTGCCCACACTCTTGGGTTTCAGCGTAAAATTAAAACAATAGACAGTTTGCCTTGAGTGCTTACTGTTTGTCAGGCAAACAGCTATGATGTGAGTAAAATAATCTACATATCTTTGCCAGTCTTTCCAAATATTCAACCGTTCATTGAATGAACTCTCCTACTGAAATGAACTTATCCTGAAGTGCTGGTCTTTGAGAGATGAGTTTGAGAATAGTAGGTTTATTATCTTTTATTGGTCAGATGCTGACAAAACACCTCCAGTTCCTTGCACCATTGAGAAACCTACAGGTAATCAGCTCTACCTAAGATCCCTCTTTAGTTGCAACAGACACAAATCTCACATTTTTACCCGGTATCTCTTCCCATTTTAGGACTGAATTCTTGTTGTAGATTAATTTAATCATACAAACAAAGTGAATATATAATCTTCCACAAAACAAATTTTTTCTTATACTGAGACTCTCAGTAAGTACTTAGCTCACTTGAAAGTTACTTTCTGATGAATGATGAAACTTGAAGAAGAACCTATATCCCCATTCCCATTGCTATCTTGTTGATTACTGTACATGGTGATTCTGTATGTTATAGAGTAAAATTTTTCTATAGTGTTTTCTTGTCTGTAACCTTTATGAAAACATATTTCTAGGGCTTTCTATGAGATGCCACTAAGTGAGTTTGAACTGACAACCTTTAAATCAGTGACAAAGAGTAGACTAATTGTGCCACAAGGGTACTTACATTCACTATATTTTATCCCAAAGTTCAGTAGAACACAACAAGCAGGTAAGCAGTCTATGTTAATGACATTAGTTGGAATTCTGGTGGCACAGTGGTTAAGCATCTGGTTGCTAACCGAAAGGTCAGTGGTTCAGACCCACCAGCTCCAAGGGATAAATATGTGGCAAACTACTTCCATAAAGATTTATGCATTGGAAACCAAATATGGCAGTGTGTTACAGGATTTCTATGAGTCAGAATCAATTCCTCTACATTGGGGTTTGGTTTCAATGGGTTTACTGGTTGTTATGGATTCAGTTGTATCCCAAAAATGTGTGTTGTAAATCCTAGCCTCTGTAGTAAAAAAGGTCAGTAAAAAAGAGGAAGACCCCAATGAGATAGACTGGCACAGTGGCAGCCACAGTGGGCTCAAGTGTAACAAAAATTGTGAGGAGGACACAGGACCAGGCAGTGTTTCATTCTGTGATGTATAGGATCTCTAGGAGGTGGAACCAACTTGATGGCCCCTAACATAACAAAGCAGCATACCTATTTGGTTATAAACCCCTTTAAGCATGGGTTATTATTGTTTAATGAATGAGGCAGGGTTAGTGATAAAGTTAAAGAAACAAGCAAGAGAAGCAGAGATGGGGCACGAGAGATGCCAAGCCACATGAAGATCTCCCAAGGACAAAGGGACAAGGACCTTCTTCCAGAAAATCTTCCACTCTGAATGTGGACTTCTTGTCTTCTAAACTGTAATAAAATTCATCTCTGTGAGTTAAAGCCATTCACTTGTACTATTTCTGGTATAGCAACACTAGACAACAAAGATATTCCATTAGCCTGGAAATTGACTAAATATCAGCTAAAGCTTTGTTTTCAAGCTCTTAAAAAAATGTGCGAAAAATCACAGAATTTTACTTCTTTGTGGCTTATTCATTTATTGTAAAAAAAAAAAAAAAAGAAAAGAAAAATGCCCTCATTTAGACTTTTAGATCTCAATAGTTTAGTTATAATGGGTTTAGTAATATTACAGGATGAAGAAAGACTGTAGGAGGTTTTAATTCCATAGTAATAATACTTGCATGACCTGTTGAATTATGACATCTCATTCAAAGAATCTGTATTTCAAAACAAGTTATTACTGATGCTGAGATTTCAGAATTGCAAATTAGCTTTACGTTGCTAAGATAATCATACCACCTTAGAGAGCTCTGAGTCTACATTTGTTCTGCCTCTAGTATTCAGCATTCATTGGAAAATATTTAATCTCAGCACTTTGAAGAGGCTGAAAAAGAGGAATGGTGGGATTCAAAGTATTCTGTTTTACACTGCTTTGTATTTTCTTTGCTTCTCAGATTTATACACCTCTCCCAGACAACATTGAAGAAAGCTGGAAAGTAATGGCTTTGGATGCAAGTGCTAAAACGTGTATCTTTACAGTAAGATTATTTCTTTCTTTCTTTCTGGGTTTGGAGTGTCTTGTTGTCTAAGTATGAGTACTTGCAAATTTTGATTACAATTTTGAAAGAACCAGTGTTTGTTAGGATAAGTCAACCAAACAATATTATATAAATAAAATATTGTATCTGTGAAAAGCAGAGTGAGACAAAATTCTTGCTTCCAAAGGAGTTTATGTCTAAACAAATTTGTACCTGTTTGATGTTGATGAGCCTATTGTTTCAATGGCTTCTGCTTGTTTATTTTATTTTCTAAATTACTGGATTTCAGGAATTACCTGAATTAGAACATGGTTCATTCAAACATAGTTCACTGGTAAATGGGAAATATGGTTAGAAACTAACTTTTTTTGAGCTCCTAGAATATATGTTGTTGTTGTTGTTATGTGCTGTCGAGTCGGTTCCGACCCATAGTGACCCTGTACAGGGTTTCCGAGGGTGTAAATCTTTACGGGAGTAGAATGCCTCATCTTTCTCCCGCGGAGCAGCTGGTAGTTTTGAACCGCTGACCTTAAGGTTCGCAGCCCGATTCGTAACCACTACGCTACCAGAGCTCCTTCCTAGAATATATAGACTTGGTTTAATATATACTTCCACTCATTCCTCAGTATCTCGCAATTATTCTTACAATTTTAAATATGAGTAAAATAAATTTCTGAAGCACTCATACAGCTCAAAAATGACAATATTAGAATTTAAATTCAGGAGGGCCTCATTTCTAAACCCATGCTCTTTCTGCCAAATCCAGTTGTTCTCAGGAAGGTTCTTTGATGATAGTGACAACAGGAGGCTGAAAGAGAAGACAGCAAGAGTAGTAATCACATGATCAGAGAAGAGAAAGCAGCCACATAAGTGAGAGAGGCTGTCCTGTGATGCTTCTCATAGTATAATCAGTTCTGTGAAATAACAGATTTTTCCTACCAGTGCCTGCTAGCTTCTTAAATTTATTTCTCTAATCACTTAGTGCTTCTAGGTTAAAAGTATCTAGAAGACAGACTTACCTATGATTGTGTCTTTAATTAACTTCTTCCTAATTATGTCCTTTTCCAATGCAATTACCTTGATTTAATGTAAAATAAAAGAACATATGGATGGATAAGCAAGTGTCAGACTCTACTGAGAACCTTCTATGGTGTTGAGGATTCTATTAGTAGTGGTAAGGCAGATATGAAACCAAGATTGAGATAAGAATTGCTTGCTTCATATGCATTTACAATTTAGAGTCTGATGCTGGTGTTATCAAGATTCCAATATTCTCTAAAAATTCTACTCTTACATTTTCCACTAAAAATATTTTTGACATTGTCCAATAATAAAATCATTCACTTTATATATTTGATATATATATATGAATTTCCCTTTAAAAAACAATGAGAAAATCTCCTATATAATCAACTTAAAGGTATTTCCAGTAAATGTAATAGTTTCTGTCTCTTTAAAGGGAAACAATTTTATTTTCTTGTTCTTGTCATGACTGAATTTTGAAATTAAGAGTTCAGATTCTAAAAATAATCATTAAAATTTTTAACATAAAAATGGAAGTAGAAATTAAGATTTTGACAAAGACGGTCTCGAAAAATAGATTCTGTATCATGCTCAATTGGGAGAAAAAACTCAATAGAATAATGCATGTTGTTTTGGCAACAGTTCAACCCTGGACAAATTCCTTAAAATTTCATTGTACATTTTTCACCCATAAGAATATTAATTTAAAATTACCTTTCAGGGTTTATCTAAGAACTAAAAATCATGTATATTTCTAGAACAACACTCTAAAGTGATAGCTTTCAGCACTGTTCAAAATTTTTAAAGTATCTACTACAAAAGAAAAAATGTGAAAGACAATGTAATTTGCCCAATATCTTAAAAGCCAATTTACCAAATGAAAAATAAGCAAAAGTTATCTGTTTACTAAAACTTGCTTTAGGGGGTATTCCATTTGATTACATTCAATTAACATGGAATTCTCATTAGTTAAAAACACTTTAATCATGATGTTGTTGGTAAGTGTCCTCTAGTTGGTTTCCGCTCATTATTGTTGTGGTTAAATGCTCTGGAATTGGTGCCAACTCATAAAAACCCTGTTTAGAGCTCCAGAGGTGCACCTGGTGGGCTTGAATCACCAACCGTATGGTTAGCAGTCCAGTGCTTATCCTACAGGGCCACACCAGGACTCCTTAACCATAATAAGACAAGGTTTATTAAATATGCACCTATGCCAGGCACTCTTCTACTTGCATTGAAAATCCTAACTCATTGAAATCCTACCTACAATCCACTGAAGACAAATTGGTAGCATAGTGGTTTACATGTTGGGCTGCTAACCACAAGGTCAATAGTTTGAATCTACCATCTGCTCTGTGGAAGAAAGTTGAGGCTTTCTGCTACCATAAAGATTTACAGTCTGGAAATCATATACAGGATGGTTGTGAGCCAGAACTGACTTGTTGGCACACAGACCAGCACCACAGATAAGGAAATGAATGAAAGTACAGAGAATAATTTCCTCCAGGTCATACTGCTAGTATATGGTGGTATAGGAATTTATAACTAGGCAATCTGATTCAAAACATAGTGCCCATAACCACTGTCCTTCAGTTAAGAGTGTATCCTTCATAGATACAAGAAATGAGCATTCATATAAATATGTGAATATTCATTTATATGGATTTTAAATGAACACATTAAAATTCATTGAATAAGTTAAAAAAATATATATCTTAAAAGTATTATTTTGTGTGTGTGTTTTTTTTTTTTTTTTGGTTATTTGGAGAAACTCATCAAAATAAGCTAGTCCTTACATTTCTGGCAAATTGACTTTAGTTCATTCCTTATTCAGATTTAATTTTTGGTAAATTGGATATATGGGAAATAGAAAAATTAATTCAATTGAATATCTCTAGGTTCCTTTAGCAAAAATAAGTAAAATAGATTTTAAAAGGTTAAGGGAGGAAGAATGTATTTGCTTACCACATCACCAAATCTAATATTCCATTTCTTTCCAGCACTCTCTGACTTATATTAGAAAGGAATACAATTGTAATGGAGGGATTCTGTCAGCGGGAATAGGACAGACACATGTTTGGAACCATTACTGAGGAAAGGCTGAATTGAACAGATGAGTCTATAGCACTTCATATGATTCTCTGTCTCCTAAATCCCCTAAATTCATTAATATCAACTAAAATAAAATTTCTATTGAAATGTATCTTTTTACTCTTTTCTTGCTCATTCTGCCATTCTCCTAGACTAGTTTTTTGTCAATCCAATTTAGAATTTTCTGAAAGAGCTTCCTTTATAAAGAATATATGGTATTTTAACATAAACACTTTGATCTTGGACTATTTATGGGCTATTTGTGAACCTATGAATGCCTTGTTTTGAGTCAGTTCTAACTCAGTGACCCTGTAAGAGTAGAATTGCCCCATAGGATTCTCAAAGCTGTAAAAATATATGGTAGCAAACTGCCACATTTTTCCCCTGCAGAGTTGCTGGGTGGGTTTGAACCACCCACCTTTTGGTTAGCTGTTGAGTACTTAATCATTGCCCCACTATGACCTAGGTATCCGGCTGTGGTGCTGTAGAAGAAGAAGTAAAATGGTAAACACATGTCAGTGACTAAAATCCATCAACTCTCCTTGGAAACCTTATACAGGGTTGCTATGAGTTGGAACCCACATGACGGCACTTAACAATAACAACAGCTAAGTCTTAAATTTCTTGGCGTGATTAGAGCATGAAAGACTTTTAAAGTGTTTTTGGAGTTAGGTGCTTTGAAAGAAAGGCCTGGCATTCGGCTTCAGTCTGTTTCTACTCTGACATACATGCGGTCACTGGAGGTTGGAATCACTTTGATGGCAACTATTTTTGTTGTTGGTTTTATTGTATTATTTTACTTTTAATGCGTCTTTAATGAGGTACATGTCACTAATGTCTTAGGTGGTGGTGGTGGTAATGTGCCATGGAGTCAGTTCCGACTCACAGCAACCCTGCACAGGGTTTCTGAGGCTGTAAATCTTTACTGGAGCAGAAAGCCTCATCTTTCTCCTGTGGAACAGCTGGTAGTTTTGTACTGCTGACCTTGAGGTTCCCAGCCCGATTTGTAACCACTATGCTACCAGAGCTAGAGTAGCTGATAAAAAATACCAAGGAGAGTTTTGTTTGTTTTTTTCCCAAATGTATGTTTTGGAGTTGTGTGTGTGTGTGTGTTGGGGGGTGGGGCGGATTAATCTATTTGGAGTTGAAAACCAGAATATTCAGATCATTAGTAGTGTGGTCAGAAGATGATACTTAAGATTTTGGATTAAATAAAATGAACAATAAAAATAATAAAGGGAAATATAAAACCATACCTATAAATATAGGAGAGCAGTTACAAGACCAGAAATCTTTTAGATAAGATCTTAGAACTAAGAAACAAGTTGTGGTTAAGTGCTGTTGAGTCAGTTCCGACTCAGAGTAACTTTGTATAGGGTTTCTGAGGAGTGGCTGGTGAGGTTTAAACTGCAATCTTGCGGTTCAAACCAACCTTATGGTCCAATGCATTATCCACCAGGACTCCCAAGAAACAAGTAAAACAGGAATAAAAGGAATTGTCAGTAAATTGATCCCCTTTAAAGATGCTAAACACTTCATCTAAAATACTGAATATCTGAAATTTTCAAACAACAATGTTATACAATATATCTATATAGTACTATTTTGAAATGCTTTTAATAAAATGTTGTATTTCTTTTATTTTACTTAGCTTGGTTTTCTTATTTCCTATTTTGCTTTCTCTTTATGTAAATTTGATGCTATTTAAATATCAAGATGTTTTATATATTTATTTTTGTTTTGTTTTGCCTACAGGCTTTGTTTCTTGAAAATATAGGTGTTATGAGATTTGAAGAATTTATATCCATGATTTTCATGATGGACTATACTCTACCACTTTCAGATGAACATATCACAGTGACTGATACCACATTTACTGACATTCCAGTACGCTTGTACTTGCCTAAGAGGAAGTCAGAGACTCTCAGACGAGCTATAATTTATATTCATGGTGGTGGTTTTTGTTTTGGAAGTTTCAGTAAGTTTTTCATGTTGTAAGAAAAATTTATAATTGATTGTGTTTTCTATGTGACAGTATCTTATATTGTTGTTGTTATTGTTAAGTGCCATTGAGTTGGTTTCAACTCATAGTGACCCAGTATAGGGCTTTCTAGGAGTTGTTGGTGGGTTTGAACAAACAACCTGCGGTTAAAAGTTCAGTGCTTATCATACAGAGCCATACTAGGATTCCAGTGTTTTATATAAATATACATAATATATATTATGTAATTACAGCTATAATATTGGGTATTAAATATAGATGGATACATGGTGCCAAAAAAATGGCACCAAGTCATTCAACCATAATCCTCTCTACTCAACTAGCTTTGATGATTCATTGTAATGGCCACACAGATCTCAGCCACCACACTCATGGGTCTGAAGTTTATTAGGGAAGTTAACAGGTTACAATTCAGGACAGGGCACCCCATTCTTTAAGCAAACCTCCTGTCCAAAGTCACTCAGCGTTACTTGTCCATGGGCTGGGAAGACCACAGCTCTGTCTCTTGCTCTGGCTCTTAGTTTTGCTACTATTGCTTCTCTGCTGCTCCTCCAGTGTTACAGGTCTCTGTCCCTGGGTGGAGGAGGTTTTGTGTGCAGAGATAGCTGGCTCCAAAGGACATGCTGTACTTCTAGCTCTTCTTTAATGGTAGTGAAATCCCAAATTCCTGCTTCTGAGATGGCTTATTTTATACAAGTCAGAGTACTAAGTTTTTACAATCACAATTAATTCTATTAACCACTCACAACTAAATCATAAAATCCTATTAGCATCTTCTCTCACATTTTCTTACTCAGTACCAGTAGGACAAAAATATTGTTTAGTGGGAATTACAAAGACTATGGGTAAAAGAGCCCTATGAAGTAATTCACTGTCCTGCACACAGTTAGATAGACACACACACACACACACACACACACAGAGACAGAGAGACAGAGAGTAATATATAGATTTATAGACAGATAATCCTAGATATTAGATGTGCATTTGTTTACTACTATTGTTGGAAAATTATATAGTGGAGAAAATGAATTAAGTTCTTGTTTTGCTTTTTGATAAATGTTTTCTTCTCCCAGATTTCATGTAGAAACTATATACAGATATCAAAAAGTAAGATATAAACAATCTAAGTACTAACACTTTTATTTCCATTGATATCAGAATATGTATAAGAGCAGAAACAGTAAAGTGAAGTAGGTGTTTAAATGACAAATCAGAAGCATATGCTATTGTTTCAAGATCAAGTTTGCAATTACTGATAACAATACTAACAGTCTTCAAATTCAGAATGCATTAGATAGTATTGACTCTAAAATAAAAACACAAAAAATAGCTTTATGTACAATAAAGTTTTCCTATGAAGTTTATGCTCCCTACTTGTCAGTTGTGAAGACACTTAGAAGTATATGCAGCAAATTAAAAACAAAAACATAGTGACTTTACCTTTATGAAACCTTTGAAAACTCTGTCACCAGGCTGATGTGGATATATGAGGAGCCACTGTCCTACTTAATCAAAACATAAAAAATAAACAAATAAATTGAAGTGAGAAAAAAAAATGAATAGGTAGTAAATGAATCTTTCATAGTTTCTTTCCTTATCTTCTCTGTGTTTCTCTTGTGGTTGTGGTGGTATCAGTGTGCCATAAAGCCAGTTCCTATTTACAAAGACCCTGTATAATTTTCCGAGACTGTAATCTTTACAGAAGAAAGTCTCGTCTTTTTCCCATGGAGTGGCTGGTGGATTTGAATCACCTTACAGTCCAACTTGTAGTCCACTATGCCACCAGAGTTATTTTAAATAGTATGTGAACTTTATTAAGATATGTGCCATACAACAAACTGAACTTAACCAGCTATTAGGAATGAGAGTTAAGGAAAGAGAAAATAAATGTGGAAATTAGAGGACAGAGACTCAGATTGATATGCAAAAAGTTTAAAAAGGTATCATACTATTTTGACTTTCTTGTTTTCTCCTTAGCTCTGGTAGTGTAGTGGTTATGAATCGGGACGCAAACTGCAAGGTCAGCAGTTCAAAACTCCAGCTGTTTCGTGGGAGAAAGATGAGGCTTTCTGCTCCTGTAAAGATTTACAGCCTCGGAAACCCTGTACAGGGTCATTACGAGTCAGAACAGACTCCATGGCACATAACCACCACCACCATCTCAACTAACATCAGGAGATGAAATTACCAGTAGTAAATTACAAAGTTCACCTTGACTTGTCCAAAAACAAAACAAAAAATCACTTAAATGACTCAACTATCAGTTAAAGACTTAATTCACCTGGTGTGCATCATGGAGCAACTGAAAACTAATTGCAGAAAGATTGTGGCTTTTTTGTAGGACAGGGAAAATTGAGGAGGATTTTTTTTTCAGTTTTGGTTTAGGCAGCAGTATTCAACATTAACTAAAACTTGTGATTAAAGGAGGGGGACAATTATTTTCTACTGCTGGTAACGCATAAATCTTAAGCCAGTGGTTGTCAAATTTTTGTGCTAACAAGAATTAGTTAGAAGATTTGTTAAAGTACGGATGGTTGGACCCCATCTGCAGAATTTCTGAATTAGTAAAGCTGTGGTGGGCCTGATATTTACATTTGCAATCAGTTTCTAGTTTATACTGATGCTTCTGGTACAGGTATACAGTATTTGAAACTACCAGCTGTTTTGTGGGAGAAAGATGAAGCTTATTGCTCCTGTAAAGATTTACAGCCTTGGAAACTCTATGTAGGGTCGCTATGAGTCAGACAGAGGAACTAAATCCACAGCAAATAATAACAAACAGAAACAACAGCAAAATACTGGTCCAGGCACCACATTAGACTATACTACAATGCTTCTGATAATAGTTGCCATCACTGTCCCCTTTGTGGCTGAGATATTCTGTAATGTACATCTATCTGATCAGTTCTTTCTCTCATTCCCATTAATAATTATTCCAATTTTGGGTCACTCCAGGACTCCTAAACCCTTTACAGTCATCTAGAAACATGTTAATCATTATTTCAGAGGAAATAGAAGATGTAAAGAACTATATGCTCTCAAAATTTTGTGCTTCTCATCCCTAGATAAAACCTTTCCTTCCATAAATTTAGCAACTATACCAAATTCCTGTCCATTTCCTTCCAATATACTCTAAGGAAAAGCTATCCCCACTTTTGACAAAATTTGTTGCTCTGTCTTTGTGGGGATCATGTGGTTCTTACCCCACCTCTTATTCAAAACAAAACAAGCAAGAGAAGAGATTCTCCAGATTTATGCTTCACAGATGTTCAAAACATGCAAAAATAAAAGATTCTCCTTATATAGACTTCTTTAATGTTCTTGTTTGCCAGCATTTTGACATTCTGGTTTTGACTCCACATGTTCTCATTTCTAATCCCTTACTTTGTCTAATCTTTCACATACTATTTATACCCAGTTCTGCATCTCTTTCTCTAATACAATTCCTGAGATCTGGATGGACAACTGAAGAAACAAAAGACATTTCAAATTTATAGACACCAACAGATAACAATGAAATAAACAAGAAAGAACCATCCATCCAAAACAACATTTCATTCTTTTAAATATGCTCAGTAAATGGTAAATAGTTGTTATAACTTGTTACTCATTTGCCTACATCATTCCTTACCTTCCACATTCAATCACTATATCTCATTCATTTTCTTTCCAGAACTGCATTAAGACAATTTAGCACTTCAAGAGCCTTCACAGATCTTTTTTTCCTGATACCTCTGCCTCTCTGCTTCCTAAACTTCATTTTATCCTCCACATCTGGTGCTCAGGGTCTCTCTAACATTAAGATTTGATCATATGATTCCGTTGCTCTAAATACTTTGCTGATTCCAATTACTTATTGAAATAAATCTAAATTCAATTTTCCCATCACTTCATTCTTTAACTTTATTTTCTTCTTCCAATGCTCCCTCCCATATTTTTGTTTCAACATACAGTACTGAACAGCTTTTAGTTCCCTGAACACTTACTGTATTATCCTTCCATGACTCTGCATTTCGAGAACTACCCTACCACCTTACATCAAGAAAATGTCTATCCACACTTTCATGGCCAGCTAAAATGTCATATTTTAATTTTTTTTTGTATAGTCTTTTATGACTCTAAAAAATTTTGCAATGTGTCCATTAAAGCTTGCATCTATTGTATGCTAACTGCCATTGCTTCAGAATTGTGCCGTATATTTGTTTTATCATTTACCCAGAATGTGGTTCATCTTTCTCTCTTTTATTAATCCTTAGTATATAGGAAAGAACTTTTCATACAGTAACTACTCATTAAATGTCTTTTGGGAAGAAAACATACTGAATAACTAGAAGGTATTGATCTTCAAAAAGATTATTATCCAAAATATTGTACTAGTACTCTCTAAGTATTTTTCACTTCCCTATGTAGTCAGAAAATTAGATTGCACCCCTAATTTAGTTTATTAGTATGATTAGAGTCTTGGGTTGGTGCTGTAGGATAAATACTAGACTGCAAACCACAGGGTTGGCAGTCCCAATTTATCAGCCACTCTTCAAAACAGGGTGACTATGAGTCAGACCTGACTTGATGGCACTTAACAACAACATTAGAATGAGCAAAATACCCTACTTCCTGTATAAGATACATTAAATACAAAATGGGCCTCATTTCTCTTCAAAGATACATCTGAATTCCACTTAAGTTTTAATGTTGTTGCTATTGGTGCGGTCAAATTGATTAGGGCTCATACTGACCCTATGTGATAGAACTACACCATCTGGTTTTCTTAGCTAAGGAGCTCTGGTAGCGTAGTGGATACGGATAGGGCTGTGAGCTTCAAGGTCAACAGTTCGAAACTACCAACTGTTCCATAGGAGAAACATGAGGCTTTCTGCTCCTGTAAAGATTTACAGCCTCAGAAACCCAGTGCAGGCTTGCTATGAGTCGGAACCGATTTCACAGCACATAACCACCAACCACCACCACCAATCTTTACAGAAGCAGAGTTCTAGGACTTCATAAGGTTGATAATTTACACATGGTTGCTGTGGGTCGGAACCAACTCAATGGCACTTAACAACAGCAAAAGGAAATATCCTAGTGTTAATGTTTTATTACACGGCACTTCAGTAAGTATAAGAGATGGGCATTAAAAAACACACAAAAGAAAACACTTAGAAAGGTGCCTGATTATTAGAGTGCTGTCTTCTTCAATGACAAGTAGGAGCCCTGGTGGTACGGTGGGTTAAATGTCAGACTTGCTAACCACAAAGTCAATGGTTCAAACCTACAAGCTGCTTCAAGGGAGAAAGATGCAGCTGTCTTATCCTGTAAAGATTTACAGTCTCATAAACCCTACAGAGCAGTTCTACTCTGTCCTATAGGATCGCTATGAGATATAGTCAGCTCAATCACAGGGGGTTTCACTGACAAGGGCAATGATGCTGATCACTAACTCTTGCACTAACAATGAGCTCTGGTTATTCTTTAGATAATATGGGAATTATCATTCAGAAGACAAAATCTGTTCTGCTAAATTCCAGTTGCAGCATTTTTGTGTCTTTCTTTTATATTCACACACTATTTGCTTTTATAATTCTCTGACTATATTAACAGCAACAAAAACATATAGATAAACTAGAAAGGAATTAGATGTTTTGTATTTCTTGACCAGTGAGGACATAGATATTGAACTTACACTTTCACTTGCAATTTTTAATTTTCCTTTCATTTCTAAGACTTCTTTCTTTTATTCTCTGAAATTTGCCAAAATGTCTTGGGAAGCTAGGAAATACACAAAAATGTTTCTGTAGCAGATATTTTAAATAATTCTGTGGTTCATATTTTTCAACATCTATCATAATGTTTTTTTATTTCTACCTGGATACTTCAATAAATGGACACAGAGCAGAGAAATATGAGTAGATAGATATAAATAAACATATGTGATTTGGAACAGTTTGAGATGAGAATGAGTGACAGAAAGTATAATCTGGCTCTTGTAAGGTAAGTACAAAAGAACTGTAAGATGAAAATTAAAATACAGGTTTTAAATAATTATTGAAAGTTTTTAATGTGATGGTCAGAGTATTCTTACATTGTGTATATTTTGGTCTTCATCTGTGCATTGCCTTGTCATGAAAATTATCAACTCGATATTTAGCAAAAAGATTATTATTTCTGTCTAAAAGAGTAGTTTATTAATATACAAGGAACTTGTTTAAAAAGTCTGGAATTTTATCATAATTCTAGAAGTCCCTGGATTTCAAGGATGTGATACTATAAGTTGAGCACTTGACCATAAGGTCAGTCTGAACTGCAAGGTTGGCGATTCAAACTCAACAGTCACTCCTCAGAAGCCCTATACAGGGTTGCTATGAGTTGAATCAACTCAATGAAACTTAACAACAAAATCAATGGTAAATAATATAGCAGTAGATGTCACAGAATTTGTCCATTTGTGGAAGAACTATATTACTGAGTGATTTTGTTTTAGTGAGTCATACACATACCGTCTTTCTTTCCCTGAATTCCAGACCAACTGAGATACTTTGATGAGGACTTCGGAGAATGTGTGTCTAGGTATTGTTTATGTGTTAGGGAGAGGAACTCTGGTGGTGCAGTGGTGAAGTGCTTGGCTGGCTGGTTGAAACCAGCCCAAAGGGAGAAAGATGAGGTAGTCTACTTCTGTAAAGATGACAGCTTTGGAAATACTGTGGGCAGTTCTTCTCTGTCCTATTGATTTGTTATGAGTTGGGATCCACTCCACTGCAATGGATTTACTCAGACATGGTGACCGATCCTGCTGATCTTGTGTCCCAATGAACCATGCTGCAGGTAAGAGAAGAATAGAATGCATTATCACAACATGTTTTTGTTGTTTAGTGCTGTTCAGTAGGTTCTGACACATAGCAACATTGTGTAGCGTTTCCTAGGTTGTGAATCTTAGCAGGAGCAAGAAGCCTCATCTTTCTTCTGTAGGTGGACTTAAACTGCTGACCTTGTGGTTCAAAGTCCAGTGCTTATCCTACAAAGCCACCATGCTCCCTGATGGCAACATATTTTTTTTGTTATTAAGTGCCATTGAGTTGGTTCCAACACAGAGCGACTCTGTATAGCGTTTCCAAGGAACAACTGGTGAGCTTGAACCACCAACCTTATAGTTCAAATGACTTTGCAGTGCTTTGCATTGACCCACAGTGCCACATCAGTACAATGTAACCCTCACCCCTCCCTGTCTGCCAAAAAAACCCCACAAAAACTTCAAGTCCTGTTACAGGCTAGTTGATCCTCACTTAAAGCAACCCTATAGGGTAGAGTAGAATTGCTCTCATAGGATTTCCAAAGCTATAATATTTATGGAAGCATATGGGCAACCATTCAGTCAAACACTTCACTGGGCTTCTGTGGCCACACAGGGCCTTGCAAAGATCATTGTTTGCAGACAGCAGATAACAAAAGACAATTGAGCCACTTTTCTCTCCTCAAAGCATCAATTAGCAAAGTCATCTCTTTTTTTTTTTTTTATGTCAATAGAATGTTCCAGAAAACTGAAATAGACAGAGTGTACCAGCCTGATTCAACGCTTCCTGAATGGATATAGAGGTGGAGAATAAAGGCATCTATGTAACACAAATATTGCAAGTTTATAGCTAGAAGTGTTGATTCTGTTGTTTTTTAATTACAGGGGACACTTTTAAGTGTATTTTTCCATTTCAGAACAGAGACCTTATGACTTCCTGAATAGATGGACTGCAAACAGACTTGATGCTGTTGTTGTGGCAGTGGAGTAAGATCATTTTCTTTGGCTATTATGATTTTTGTCTTCACTACATAGAAATTCTATTTTCAAATCAATTCAGCTATGTCTCAAATAGCATTTGAAAATATTAACACTTTTTACTTGTCAGTGTTGCAGCATCCATTACATCTCAAAGAAAGACGTTGGTGTTGTTAAATGGCACAAAGCTGATTCCGAACTGTAGCAACCCTGCATAGGGTTTCCGAGGAGTGTCTTGTAGGTTTGAACTGCTAACTTTGCAGTTAGCAGTACAATGCTTACCCTACAGCACCATACCAGGAATCCATTATTTTCCAGTCACTGAGAGAACCCAGAGCAAATTTGGAACTACTTTTTGATAAAGCTAAGCACATAAAACACAGGTCCTAAGGAGTACTGGTACTGCAGTGGGTTAACCATTGTGCTGCTGACAGTAGTAGAGGGGGCAGTTGAAACCCACCAGTCAGACTCCAGAAGGTAGATGAGGCTGTCCATACCTGTAAAGATTTACAATCTCAGAGAACCTTTGTTGCAATTCTAACCAATAAACAACATTCTTATCAATGGAGAAAAGATTGAAGTTGTCAAGGATTTCATTCTTCTTGGATCAACTATCAACACTCATGGAAGCAGCAGTCAAGAGATCAGATGACGTATTGCATTAGGCAAATCTGCTGCACAGGACCTTTTTAAAGTGTTGAAGAGCAAAGATGTCAGCTTGAGGACTAAGGTGTGCCTGACCCAAGCCATGGTATTTTCAATTACCTCATATGCATGTAAAAGCTGGACAGTGAATAAGAAAGACCGTAGAAGAATTGATGCTTTTGACTTATGGTGTTGGAGCAGAATACTGAAAGTGCCAGGGGCTGCCAAAAGAACCAATAGATCCGTTTTGGAAAAAATGCAGCCAGAGTGCTCCTTGGAGGTCAAGATGGACAAACTTTGTCGCTCGTACTTCGGACATATTGTCAGGAGGGACCAGTTGCTGGAGAAGGATATCATGTTTGGTAAGGTGGAGGGTCAGAGAAAAAGGGGAAGACCCCCAACGAAATGGATTGGCCAAGTGGCAGCATTGATGAACTCAAGCGTGATAACAGTAGTGAGGTTGGCCCAGGATCGGGCAGTGTTTTGTTCTGCTGTGCTTAAGGTCACTTTTGGTCGGTACTGACTCGATGGCACCTAACAACAGCAACAACTCTGCCCTAAAGGTCACAATGAGCTGGAATCAACTCAACTATGACAGTGGAGGGGTTTTTTGTTTGTTTTTGGTCTAAAGTCCTAGTATAGTCTCAAGTAACATACCAGGTGACTTCAAAAATCCATGGAAAATGGAATTAAAATATAGTGGCATTTTTCCAACAATGGTTTTTACAACTTGTGAGTCACCAGTTACCTTATGAATATAATCGCAGAGTCCTGGAGTGGTGCTGTGGGTTACTGTGCTGGATTGCAAAGTCAGTTTGAACTGCAAGGTTGGCAGTTCAAACTCACCAAGTGATCCTCGGAAACCCTATATAGGGTCGCTATGGGTCAGAACCAACTCGATGGCATTTAACAACAACAACATAGAGTAGCTCTAATCCAAAATTGCATGAGCTCAAAATTGTGCCTATAATTTCAGGGAATTTATGGCACTCGCTAATCCCTCACACAAGGACATCCTGAACCTTAGACACAGGGTTTAAACATCTTTGTTGCTAAATTCACTTTTGTTTGTTTGTTTGTTTGTTTGTTTTGTATTTAAATAAAAGGTTCATACTATCTTCAGTTTGATTTTTGAAGTATTTAACAATAATGCAAGGTTTTTTATAAATGATTTATTGTTCTTTTTCAAAGCTATAGATTAGCTCCTCAACACCACTTTCCTGTTCAGCTTGAAGATGGCATCGCTGCAATCAAGTTTTTTCTTCAGGATAAAATTCTTAGAAAATATAGAGTGGATCCCAACCGAGTCTGTATTTCAGGAGATAGTTCTGGAGGCACGTTAACAGCAGCAATAACTCAAGAGGTACATTCTATTTGTCTTTATGTGGAGAACTAGAAGTTAAGGTTTATTCTATTTTTTTCAATACAAGTATTCAGTTCTTTTGGTACTATTTGTTGAAGGGACTATCCTTTCCATATTGAATTACAATGATGTTAGAGTTACAAATCAATTGACCATATTATGGGGACCATTTCCTGTATTTTCTCATCTGTTTTGTTCATCTGCCTATTGCTATGCCAACATTATATGAAAAATTCAACTGTATTTGTCTTTAAAACAATTTCTATTACTCCATATCGTTCCCATTTCTGTCAAAATATTAGGGTATTATCAATTTCTAAAATGAAAATTCAATTAGATTTTGATTGGAATTGCATTGAAGCTACAGATTTGTTTGAGGAAGATTAACATTGAGATTTCCAATTCATGCATGTGGTATTCTTCTATCTAATTTTTATTTAGATCCTCTTTAACTTTCTGAGCAATATTTTACTATTTTCAGCATACAAGTCATAGCAATTTCTTTTCAGATTTATTTGTGAGCCATTTTGTAATTGTATTATTTTAATAAATAATATTTTCCAAATGCTTGTTAACAGTGCATAATAACATAATATGTTGTTCATTTACTATTGTATCCTTCATAAAGTCACTTATAAATTCTAGTAGTTCATTTCCTTTTATAGTTTCCTAGGGTTTCTACATAAACATTCATAAGTCTTATGGCTATGGACAATTTTAATTCTTCTTTTATGATTTTTATGTCTTTCCCCACCTTTCTTTATTAGTACATTGGTCAGCATCTCTAGTACAATATTACATATAATTATCTTGTTCTGGATCATAGGAGCAAAATAATCAAAATTTCGCCAACAAATGTGATGTTAACTGAAGATATTTTATAGAAAGCAGTTGTTCAAACAGAACATGGGAACACTGAATGTTTTAAAATTAAGAAAGCTGTGCAACAAAGTTGTATTCTTTCACCATACTTATTCTGACTTATAGTGACCCTATAAGACAGAGTGGAGTCCTGGTGTGGTGTTGTGGGTTAATATGCTGGATTCCACAAGGTCGGCAGTTCAAGCTCACCAGCAGCTTATCAGAAACCTTGTACAGGACCTCTATGAGTCAGAACCAACTCTACGACACTTAACAACAACAGCAATAGGACAGAGTAGAATTGTCCCTTAGCATTTCCAAGGTTGTAAGCTTTACTAAAGCAGACTGCCACATCTTTCTCCCATGAAGTGAATGATAGGTTCAGACCCCAAATTTTGGGTTAGCAGCTGAGTACTTACATAGATGCCATAGAGGTCCTTTCATTATCCATAGCTTATTTAAAATATGTTAATTTTTTAAGTTGAAAGATTTTAAAGTTCCTATTTGTAATGATTTTCAATTTAAGTTTCTTGCAGATACAGAATATGTTCTGTAAAATTTTAGTTTAGAAACTGAAACTTATTTATAGCTAGTTTATTGGGCCATTGTTATTAATTTTCTAATGGCACTTGAATAAAAAAAAATGTCTATTCAGGATTTTTGTTTAAAATACTCTGTAACTGTCTATAGGACAATTTGAATATTACTGCTGCTCAGATCTACTATGACCTACTGATTTTTGTCCAGTTGTTGTATCAAGTACTAAGAATTATGCGTTAAAAGGTCAACAATGGCTATCAATTTGATGGATAACAACTCTTCAGAACCCCCCTTATGCCCACTCTACACTATCCATATCTGTTTTGGAAGAAGTGCAGCCAAGATGGCTAAACTTTGTCTCTCATACTTTGGACATATTGTCAGGAGGGGTAAGGTGGAGGGTCAGAGAAAAAGAGGAAGACCCCCAACGAGATGGATCAGCCAGGTGGCATCATTGATGGACTCAAGTGTGGCAGCGGTAGTGAGGTTGGCTCAGGATCAGACATTGTTTCGTTCTGCTATGCATGGGATTGCTATGAGTTGGTTCTGACTCGATGGTACATGACAATAACAACATCAACACTATCCATATATGTGTTGTATTCATTAATTCTATCTATCATCTATCTATCTATCTATCTATCTATCTATCTATCTATCTATCTATCATCTATCCTCCTTCCTTTCTTGATTTTGGTGCTTGGGAAAGCTATAAATGATGGGAGTTTATGCTATGGTTTAATTAGAAGGTCATTTCTATAAAAATAACCTATATTGGAGAGGACTTTATGCAGATGTCTAAGGAGATCTGGTGTTGCTGCAGGATTAGCACTGCACTTTAGTAGTGTAGTGCTTATGAACTGGGCTGCTAACCTCAAGGTCACCAGTTCAAAATTACCAGTTGTTCTGAAGGAGAAAGATGAGGCTTTCTCTTCCAATAAAGATTTACAGCCTTGGTAATGCTGTACAAGGTCTCTATATGAGTTGGAACAGATTCCATGGCACATGACCACCATCACCACAACCACTAACTGCCAGCCTCCCATAAAAATATATAGCCTCAGAAGCCCTACACAGGGTCATTATGAGTCTGAATCAACTTGATGGTTTTTTGTTTTGTTTTGTTTTTATATCGCTATGAATTGAAACCAACTCAAGGGCACTTAACAACAACTGCATATGTACATATATACATACACACCACACATATATGTGTACATATTATTGCTGTTCCAACTCCTAAAAACTCAAAAGAAAAAAAGTATCAAGTTGGTTCTCACTCATAGTGACCCTGTATAGAGTTTCCTAGGAATGACTGGTGAGCTTGGACCACCATCTTTGAGGTTCACACTGACTTTGCAGTCCAGCGCATTAACCTGTAGTGCCACTTATATACTGTTGCTGTTGTTAAGTGATATTGAGTTGGTTATGACTCATAGAAACTCTATATAGAGTTTCTGGAGAGTGGTTGGTGGGATTGGATAAGCAGTCCAGTGCTTATCCTACAATGCCACATCAAGACTTTATGTATGTGTGTTTATCTATGTATATACATGCATAAGAATATGTTTATATAGCTATGTACATATAAATTTATATGCACCTGTAATACTACACATATTCAAAGTTCTACTGTGAAACCAGTGTGTCAACAAAAACAAAGCCTCACCTTTTGCTTTGTACTTGAGTCCTTCCTCCAACTCAATCTGCTCCACTTTAATCTCCATCATGTTTAACATTTTGTGTCATTAGGGGACAAAAAAATATTTAACAAAAAGACAGTTTGAAAATCATTAGACTTGCTGACTCCTGAGATTACTTCTATCTATCTTATATTTGAATTAGTTGCATATTGGAAATGACACATCACCCAAATGGAGGAACATTTGAAGGATCTTACTGGAATAGGGTGGGTTGGGGAGTAAACACTTTAGGATTATTATACTAATTGTTATCCAAAGCTTTATAGTAGTTTGATTTAAAATTTAATCTAAAACTGGTTTTGTGGATGTAAAGATTTTGAAACATTTCCAACAATTGTCCGATAATAATGAAGCAACACTTTGCCACTCCCATAATTTCTGCTTATATCTAAAAATATTTGCTTGCCTTTGCAAGTGAAGCAGGTTTAATTGAAATAATTAAATGTAGCCATAGAAATTTATGAAGGTGCATAGGCCTACTTTACCAGTTTCAAGTAGAAACAACCTAAACATTAACACAGGCACCCCAAAGAGATGCAAGTCTCAGTAATAGCTTTAGAACAGTACTGATTGTTCTTTTGAATTCAACTAAAATCTGACACTATTGCACTCTTCGAGCTAATCAATTATATGAGAACATAGAAGCTACTTTGACTTCCTGATTTGTCTGCTCAGAGGGATTATTATAGCAGAAAATATCCTGTTTAAATTAGTGTTTTAAAATAGCATTTAAAAAGAGAACTTCCTTTATCATTTATTGTTAATTTTTATGTTTATACTTTAAATTACATTTTCTTCATGGACTCCTAAATCTTTTTAAGTGAGTTATATTTTCATCAAAAGGCTTTTTTTCTTTCACCTGATTGATTTTTGATTCGAGTTGAGAAATTTTTACTTAATTAATTTTGTACTTCATAACTATTACAAAATTCAATATTCATAAGAAAACCCCACTAAGAAATCAATTTTATTTTGTACTTTGAGAAGATTTAAAGAGGAAAAATTTTATTTAATTTTTAAATGATAATTTTCTTCTATAGATTTAAAAGATGGAAGATTATTTCATTAATTATTCACAATAGAAAAAAACATTCTCAGATTTTAGAAGAATCTGACAAAAACAACATAGATTGGAAGGGCAAATAGAGTCTTCTTAATTTTTTTTAAACACCACTATGTTTCCATTATTGAGGGAATGGATATCTTGCATCTATGATTCCTAGATTTCTCGTGATATCATTTTATATATCTACAAGATGCATTGTCAGTTATAATAATTTGAATAGTCACTATATTCTAGGAAACTATTCTGGGCATTGGGAGAAAGATGAGGCTTTCTACTCCCATAAAGATTTACAGCCTTGGAAACCCTGTACAGGGTCTCTATGAGTCAGAACCGACTCCACGGCACATAACAGCAACAACAACATTCTGGGCATAAACCTTTATTCTTGAGTTAAGAGAAAACATTTTCTTCTTAATTATAGCATTTAAATTCAATCTTAGCAGCCGTTCTTGGAAACCCTATATAGGGTCGCTATGAGTTGGAACCAATTCAACAGCACTTAACAACATTTTACTTTAAACTGGTCTATACTACACTTGGAGTCCCACTGTGGCACTGAAGGACAGCATGCTGGAGTACAAGGTCAGTTTGAACAGCAAAGTCAGCAATTCAGACTTAACCATCTGCTCCTAGGAAACCCTACCGCTCCTAGGAAACTGAACTGACTCAATGACGTAGAATAACAACATCATGCAATACTTTGGTTTAATTTCCTTATGGTGAAAAATACCCTCTTAATTTCAAAAGATGATGTAAATTGATTTGATATTTTGAATTAATTATTAAACCCTATTATTCTTTTATGGAGTCCTGGTGTGGCACTGTGGCTT